GGCTGGAAATTACTGGAGACACATAACAAGCAGGGAGCAACAATGTGGCGAAAAACCCAAACACCCTGCAGCTTCTGGATACAACATGAACAAATCTAAACACCGGGCACCATAAGCACAGCACAACACACATTATGTAAAACCTACCACCACCAAAGTAGAACGCACACTGACACTGCACACACACAAAAATCACACAGATTTATTAGTACGCTAAACACATAGTGAATGTAAATAGCACTGCTTGCTGTGTTCGAGTACAGTAACTAGTGTATGAGTAATGAGTAATACGCCTTTCTTTTGTCATGCTGTAACTGTTCCTAATCAGAGAGAGACCGACCTTTCAAGTTTCAGGACAGGACTGAGAAAGAACTATAAAACCGTAACGGCAAAGGCTCTAACACACTGTCTTTAGCAATTAGGTTAAGTCTAGCCTGCAGTTAGAAGAGGAAATGGTGCTGTGCACTAGCTTGCTGTGTCAGATTGAGGGATTAACCATCATAATCCCGAGACCCAAAGAACTCTCCCTGCCACAGCCTGTTCACTAAATTCATTCAGAGTTTATACAGCGCCGCAGCAACGACTATGAAACCTACCCTGTAATGAGCTGCTGCTAATGTGGGTGACTCATGCTTCTACTGGGGCTATACTTAGCAGAGGATCTATACCTTCTAACAGGTTTGTAACACTAGAAATACAGCTGCAGCTTTGAAGTGCTTTACAGTGCACTCCCCTTCCTACCTATAAAAACACACAGTCAACCAGGGAAAAAGAGGTATTCATTACTGCGGGTGTGTGTTAATCATTGCAGGCTGTCAACCACTAGAGCAATTGATCATTACCACCACAGCAAAAAACGTATTCACGTTAAGGCATGTCAGTCATCGAGAGCGACATAAAAACCCACACAGGATGCTTTAAAGCATCCATAATATCAACACATATTATGCCTCACTATGAGAATTCATGGAATGGCACAACAGACCTACTCTGATGTAACAAGAACCAATAGGTAAGCAGCTTAGAGTAAATCTCCTAGTGTGGACCCTGAAGCTACTGTGAGGCAGAGAAATGCTCCTGATCAAGACTGCCCTGCACAGCCCAGCTCAGCACACAACAACCGATTGTATCAGATTTGGAAATGCATGTAAACTAAACATGTGTGTGAGTATGTCAGCTTATTTGTTAGAATGTAAATACACTTTCTCATGCAATTTATTATGATTAATTACTGTGCACACGTTAACATTTGATCACTACAACTGCAGTCAAAACTCTGAAGTCCAAAAGTGCATCTGGGCAGTGGAATGAAATTATCTAATTAACTGATAATGGGAATAACTAGGTTGACTTTTTACTGATGAAACGAGAGGGTAACCAGGTCTGTCCCTGGCCAACTTTCCTCTCTATCAGGGTCTCCTAAGCGGAGGTTACCTGGGGCATCTGTTCCTTCAGCGGACAGGGCGGCAGCGCTCTTGCTCCTAGCTAGTGAGGCCTGGGTGGGTGTGAGCAGGCGACTAAGGACCCCTCCATCCACAGTAGTGGCCAGTGGCCTGCGAGCTACACGGCCGAAAAAACACAGATCACCGGAAAAAA